ACTTCTTCACCAAACTTGTCACATAGATTGGTCTGACGGTGTACTTGTGCCTTTTGCTAGTTTTGGATTTCTGAATAACATATTTTTGGCATTTCCATGGCAACAAGTTTGACTTAGACTGAAATTGGTGATAGTGCTCCTTTGCTCTTTGAAAAACTTTCAATACTCTCCTTCCACTTTTCTATATACACACCTAAATATTTGACATATTCATAACTCGTAGACATAATCATGAAGAGTATTTTGCCATTGCGGGGGCTATTGATGACTTTGTCTTCTTGTTTATAATACAGAGGTGGGAGGTGAGAAATATGGGACGGTATGAGTCATGCTCGTTGTTGGGTTTCCCTGGTTTGAAAATTGGTACCACCCTGGCTGTTTTCCATGTGATGGGTATAGTTCCTGAGGTCCAGATATGGTTGAAGAGAGGGATTGTGAGGTTTTGCATGTTGGGAGTGTGTTTGTTGAGTATGGTGTATGCAATGGTATCTGGACCAGGGGTTGAGGCTGTTTGTTTGTTTTAAAGAACTGATTTGAGTTCATGGATGTTGATGATTTTGTTTATTGGTAGATCCGGGGTAGGGGTGGGGATGGGCGGGAGAGTAGGTGTGTGTGTGTGTGTTTTTTATGGTGTTTTGGAAGGAGGGGGGCTGGGGTAGTTGGTGGAGCTGCTTGTGGCCGAGAAGTGAGCAGCAAATGCATTAGCTTTGTCTTTGTTTGTGGCTAGGTCCGGAAAGTTTGTTAGTCCTAGTTTGCCTTAGGGTAAAACAAAATTTTCTCCAATGGTTGATTTTTGCTGCCTTGATAATTTTTTTAGTTTTATTTCGTAGTTGTTTAGCCAAATATAATTTTGAACAGTCCCTTTTTGATTGGTTAAGGGCCTTTTTTCTAGCCTTTCTGGCATTGATGATTCCTGAGCTCCACCATGGGACTGTTGTTTGTGCAGGGTTGTACCGAATAGTGGGGATGCATTTATCTGTGATGTCTAGGATGGTGTTTGTAAGGTTGCTGTTGAATGTGTCAATTTCTGGGTTGTAGATGGTTGAGGTGTCTATTTGTTTGCATAATGTAGTGAATTTGTGCTAGTCTGCTTTTTGTATATTGTACCTGGTTTCTGTGGGTGTGGAGGGGGTGGTGGTGGTGGGTGAGGTGGTGGTGGGGACATGTGATGTTATGGGGATTTTGATGGGGTAGTGGTCGCTGCCCCAGGTGTCATTGTGTACCTCCGAGATACAGGCTTGTGTGAGTTTGGATGTAGTGAGTGTGATGTCTATGGCTGTGGGTGAGTGAAGGTGGGAGAGGGGGTAACGGGTGGGTTGGTTGTCGTTTAAGGAATTTAGGTTATGTTTGTCTAGCCAGTCAGTAAGGCGGGTTCCATTTATGTCGGTGAAAGGTCTTGTGTCCCACAGTGGGTGATGAGCACTGAAATCTCCGAGTATAATGGTATCGGGGCCTATGAACATAGAAAGTGTGTCCAAATCTTGGTTATTGAGTTTGTAACAGGGTCTTCTATAAACGTTAATAATGGTGATTTCTTTGTTGTTGAGTTTAGTTTTGATACCCAGGACTTCTAAATCTTGGACGGGAATTTGCAAAATGTCATAGTTTAGTTTCTCTGTAATGAAGATGCCCATACCCCCACTAGGGGGCGGCTGGGTGATTATATGGCCGAGGTCTGTCTTTCCGGATGTAATTATAGCCTGGTAATTTGAAGGCGTTTTGGGGGGATAATTTGGTTTCTTGCAGAGCTATAAAATAGGGGGAAATTTTGTTTTGGGCGATGAGTGCCTTAAGCTATACTCGGAGACAGTTACAGTTCCACTGTATTAACGCCATGGTTACAGTAATTTGCAAGAGGAAATTTATAAATACCATGGGGTGGGGCTTGAATTTGTAATAAAGGGGGTTAAGTGCTAGAGTAGCTTAGTGTTGTTTGGTTTAGAAAGGGCTTTAAAGGGCGATGAGAAGGCTGGCTAGACTTTTGTGGTAGAGTTTGGACTTGTGTGAGAGCGTGTGAAGTTTTTTGGCTGTATGATTTTCCATGAATGTTGCTGCTATTATGAATTCTACTATTTTGTTGAGGTTTTGGTTAAGTTTTTGTGGTGTGAGGGTGACAGTGTTTTTTTTATGTTGTTGTTTGTTTGTTTTGTTTTTTTAAATTTATTTAATTATTTTTATTTCATATATTTTTTTATTTTGTTTTAAAAGCCGCAATGTTTTTGAGGGTGGATTATGGGTTTGTTGGAGAGGTTGGGGTTGGGTGGTTTAGGGTGGGAGGTAGTGGTGTGTGGAGGGTTGGGGTGTGTGTGTGGGTTTGGGGCGGGTTTGTAGGGGTGGGGTTGTTTGGGTGGGTGAGTTTTGGGTGGGTAACTTTGGAAGGTGGGGTGTGATGGTTTTGGGGGTGGTTGGGTGGAGCGGGTTTTGCGGGGTTTGGGTGGAGGTGGGGCGGAGGAGGGGAGTGGGGAGGAAGATGAGTTTGCAGAGGAGATAGTGTATGGAGAAGATGATTGCGCTGAGAGGAGTGAGTGGTAGGCTAGCATTGTGCATGCTAGTTTGGGCACGTCGGTTTGTTTTATGTGTTTACTTAGTTGAAGTATGTGCTTTTGTTTGTTTGGGCAAGTGGTTTGTGTTGAGATATGGCCGTGTGTGTCACAGTGTGTGCAGTATTTCTGGTATGTACATTCTTCTATTGTGTGATTGTCCGACCCGTATTTTGGACATAAAATGGGTGATCTGCATGTGTTGGCTGTGTGTGTGTATGAGAAACAGTATTTGCATTGTTGTTGGTGTTCCGGATTGGGTGAACTTTGTATGATAGTGCTCCAAAGGTGATATGGGTGGGGAATGTGGTGGTGTCAAATGTGAGGAAGGTTGTTTGGGTGTTGGTGTTGTACATGGTGGGTTCTTTGTTGTTGATTGTCCTGAAATGTGTGATTTTGGGTTGATTTTGGATAGTGTTGGCGATGTCGATGTAGTGTTGAATGTCTGTTTCTGTTTCCCTTGCAATACGTACTACCCCCTGTATGGATGATTGCCACCGTGGTATCTGCCAACTGATCTGTTTGCCATCTACGAGTGTGTGTTTGAGAATGTCGGTGAGCGTTTGTGTATCTGTGAATGTAATTTTGAAGCCCTGGCCTCAATTATTTATATATTTGTATTGGATGTGTTGTTGTTGGAGGCATAATGCAAATTTGTTGACTGAGTATGTGTGGTTTAGTGGAGTGTTGGTATTGGTGGCGAAGGCTAGAAGAACATGTTTGTTGTTTTGAGGTTGGGGGTAGGGGGGTGTATCTTGGGCGCATTGTTTCTTATTGTAGTGGGTGTTTTCATTGGGTGAAATGTGTGGTCGTTTTGCATTTTGGTGGTTTTGGTAGTGGTACTGGGGAGGTTGGGGGTTGGAGGGGGTAGTTGTAATTGGCTGAGAGGGTAGTAGTGACTCAAGGTCAAGGCCAAAGTTTATAGGAATAGGATCAATTTGATGTGGTGATGTGAGGTGTGGGAAGTCTTTGGTTGGGGTTGAGAATAGTGATGTTGAGAGGAGGGAGGGGCCATGATGCATAGGGTGGGGGAGGGGGGTGAAGAGGGGTAGTGTGTTGTGGGTTTGGAGGGTATGTACACTATTACAAACAAGATACAAACAGTTTAGGAAACATAGATACAGTGTAGGATAGCAAGTTTCAGATTGATGAAAGTTTGATTTGTTTTTAGTTCGTAGAGTTTGTTATATACACAATGAGAGAGTCACAGGTGAACACTTGCGGTTTCCTGGCAACTTTTAACTGATTAATAATGTCATCCTCACCATCAAACATAAATATTATCTATATTGCATTGTATGTATGGCCAGAGGCCCACGTGGCTTGCGTCAATAAAATCTGTCTGTCTGTCTGTCTGTTAACTTTCGCGAGTTGGTAAGCTGTGTTCTGATTGGTCAATCCAAAAGGTTAGGTGACGCGACCTTCTACTAGGCTTTGTTACACTCAGTATAGCAGTGCAACGAATAATACTGAGCCTTAGTTTAATTAGACTGGAATGCAATATTATGTAATAAGATTGTAATGTTATGTGATAAGAATGTTCTGTTGTGTGAAAGAATGTAATGTTATGTGATAAGAATATTTTGTTATGTGATAAGAGTGTAATGTTATGTGATAAGAGTGTAATGTTATGTAATAAGAAAGTTCTGTTATGTGTTAAGAATGTTATGTGATAAGAATGTTCAGTTATGTAAAAAGAATGTAATGTTATGTAATAAGAATGTTCTGTTATGTAAAAAAAATGTAATGTTATGTAATACGAATGTTCTGTTATGTGTTAAGAATGTTATGCGATAAGAGTGTTCAGTTATGTAGAATGTTATGTGATAAGAGTGTTCTGTTATGCAATAATAATGGTCTGTTATGTAATAATAATGTTCTGTTATGTGATAAGAATGTTCTGTTATGTAGTAAGAATGTAATGTTATGTAGTAAGAATGTTACGTAATGTAATAGGAATGTAATGTTATGTAATAAGAATGTTCTGTTATACAATGTAATAAGAATGTTATGTAATAAGAATTGAAAGTAATGTTATAAGAATGTAATGTTATTTAATACGAATGTTCTGTTATGCAATGTACTAAGAATTTATGTAATAAGAATGTACTGAAATATTACACAATGCGATTGTAATATTATGTAATGTAATAAGAATGTAATTTAATGGTATGCAAAATAATGTTTTGGTGCAGGTCACTTTGAGGGACATTCTCTAATGAAATGAACTGCGAATAGTTTCATCAGAAAGAAATGCCTTGCATGATACTGCATCGTGTTTTGTGTTTGTTAAAACGACAAAATTTAATACATGTGATCTCTAGGGTGGGCTATACATTCTCTCTCTCTCTCTCTCTCTCTCTCTCTCTCTCTCTCTCTCTCTCTCTCTCTCTCTCTCTCTCTCTCTCTCTCTCTCTCTCTCTCTCTCTCTCTCTCGCTTTCTATAAATTCATTTCTTACCTTGAAGATCCGACTCCGTGGTCGAGTGCACAGCTAGTTGCACATATATTGAGATCGGGGTCTTGTATTGTAATGCAATGAATTATTTTAGATGAGGCGAGGTGTTATACAACCTCGTGAACAAAGGACGTCCACTGATGGGGACTGCAAGACGAAATAGAGACATATTGGATTTCAGTAACTAAACTCAGTTACCTTACCTTGATGTATTATGGCAGACTGACCCGGTACTTATGTCAGACTGACCCGGTATGAGTAGGCCTGACGAAACAAGTCACGCATGCTTTAGTTTTAAGAATACCGTCTGTTATATGTCCTGCTAAACTAAATCTTCAAATTACAGCCCCACGAAGCTTCCTGGGACTTAACGTCAGTGGTCACGTTGACTGGTGCTATTTCTATGTTACGAGTCATTATCTGTATACACAAAAGCAGTAGCCAAGTTTCAGTCATGCCATATGAGGGTAAACATTCGTATATTGTGTTCGGTGAAAGGCAATTCATTGTGATTATTACAACAGACTAAATGCATGCGAAAATTTTCATCATTAAAATTGTTATTTTGTAATATTAAAGCGGTGTGGTCATATTACGGGACTGATCGTGGTGTGGATCGTTGTTCATGGTTCACCGGATGGTCTGACTCAGTCTTAGTCATTTACAGAAGCTGGGATATTGTGGATATGGAAGAAACTCACACACTTTAGGATCACATCAGCAGTGTCCTGTATGCAGGAAATAGAGATAGGGTATACCTGGGTTAGGATTTTCTCTAGCAACCCATGCTTGTCGTAAAATGCGACTGACGGGATCGAGTGGTCGGACTTACTGACTTTGTTGATGCATGTAATCGTTTCCTTACTGCTTGTGCTGTTGATCACTTGATTGTCTGGGGTTCTTTTCACGAAGCAACCTTGACTAAGGTTAACCTTAACTCACATTTTTTAACACTGCACTAAGGTTTCACCATCAAGCATATACTGCTTGACTGCGTGGACTTCTCGACTGCAAGGGACTCGCATTATGAAGTGACAAATCTGAAAGACCTTTTTGTCCCGTGTCAGCGGGCATCTCGTAGTTAGCTACCTGAGGGAAGTCGACCTGTACCATAAATTGTAGCTACATAATGTGAATAACGGATTGCCCGCTTTTGAATTTGGTGCTTTGAATATCTGTTTTAAATAATAATGTAATGAATATGTATGTTTTAAAAACAACAACCTCATTTGTAGTTTGTACTTAAAATGTGTATGAAAGCAGATTCGATATCGTCACTATATGGCTTGAATAATGGCGATAAGACGTAAAACCCAACTCAGCAACAACACAACAACAACATCAGGTTACCTTAATGACTTACGATCACCTTATTGGTATGTGAAAGGAAGCCCTGGTCCAAACACGGTTATTTACTGACCGTAAGTGAGATATATGTGTATAGGCAGGTCAAAATAGAGTTAGAAAAGTGAGACTTTCATGGTTACTATGTCAGTAAATGACAACGTTTTGAGATTTAGGGAGACATCTTGAAAATGGTGGATATAGTAGGTATAACCAACTTCAATTCATGAAGTCTATTCCTTCCTACTTGGGTGTCCCATCTGTTTTGCATAAGGTCCTTAGTGGGTTTAAAATCTCTATACGGCATTAGCAGTGGAGATAAGGGCTTGGCAAGCGCTGCTTTAGCTGCAGCATCGGCCTTTGTGTTACCTGCTATGCCGACGTGACCCGGCAACCAGCAGAGGACGATGACACATTGACCAGTAGAAAAGGTCATTGGAATGTCCAGGATAATAGGGTGACTTGAAGTAACAATTTGAAGTGCTTGAAAGCAAGATAATGAATCTGTTAAAACGATGAAGTTTTTGGAATGGTTCTGTTGTTTAGTATAGGTGAAAGCTGTGGCCTCGGCAGTGAAAATGGAACTATTGTCTGGAATTCTAGAGGAGACAGTCTTGGATCCAATGACTGTAGCACTGGCAACATGGCCTTCCTTCTTGGGTCTGTCTGTGAAAATGGTTGTTATACTTAGAATGTAAGTAGTTGTATTCCTGTTTTGGAACACCAAAGCATTTGTTTGGACTTTTTCAGTTTGGTGAGGGTAAGATCGACTTGTGGTTTCACCATCTGCCAGGGTGGGGAAGACAAAAGTCGGTAAGGTGCTATGGTATTGAGATCAATTTTAGCTACAGATATGTATGTTTGAATTCTGATTCCAAGTGGTGGAACCAGGCTTGCCAGGTTTGAAAACGAGTTTTCATAGTGATGGTTGAAAAAGTGAAGGACCAAGAAAAAATTACCAGTAGGGTCAAAAATCGAACAAGTTCTTTTTCGCCGTTTGGAAAACATGGTTGACCATAGAGCCTGTGCCAGGTTAATATGCTTTTCCCTGGTCGCAAATTTCATTTACATCATCGTGGCTTCACCCCAGTCGGGTGTCTGTTAAACAACGCTTCACATATATTCCGTGACAGGGTTCTTGTTCATACTGTTTAATGTACAGGACACTGCATTAGCACATTCACTTTATGAAAAAAATACTGATAGAGAAAACCACACAGAACGGGATTTATAAAAGCTCTCCTCATGTCCGGGACGCAGGGGAGACAACTTGACAGTCAAAACACAACTGGCTCTCAATGGGATCCCATCTGAAATATATTCAAGTCTGAGTTGAATGAAATAGATTCTTTTGCTTCATATCTGTGAGTGACCTTGAAGGGGTCATCTGTAGTTTTTAGTTAAATTTCTATTTTTTAGTTTGTTTTTCAAGGGGAGAGAGCGAACGCAGTCCCCAACACTTTTAAATTGCGCACCCGAGTCGTCCACATTTGGGACGATCGCAGGGGTCAACAAAGCCGATGTGCAATGGAAAGGTCTCGCCCCAGGCCCACAGCCTTGCGGATCACTGTATCTCTACAACCAAATCTGGAGTGTTCCCTATGTACTAACGTCATTCAACATAATTTAGAGAGCCACCAGACAAATGTTTAACGAAATCCATGTCATGTCAAACTGAACAGTACTTAGTTGCCACGGGTCGGATCCTAACTGCATATATGTCCAGGGCTGCTGAACGTGTATGTGTCTCAAACAGTATAGTGATTACTGGGATTATCCTTACACCTACACTCACTGGTCAGTGTGACATCTTAAATTAACAGATGCCAAGACGGCTTCGACCAAAGGCAGCAGCGTCAACACCAACTGCTCGTGTGTTGATCATGACATCTTAATGGCACGCCTTCAAGGATGGACAAAATCCTTGAAGAATTTCTGTGAATACCTATTGTAATTAAAAGAGAGGGTATGAAAGTCCATGTCTCTCAAAGCATTTCTTTATCTACCAGTTTGTAATTGTTGTATCTGTGGTATTTAATTTATCACAAGACTGATCGACAATTGCTTACAGCTGAAGGGAGGATGTAAATCAAGCTGGTGTCCACATGGTTCCTAGTATGGCGATCTACTTTTAGTTGTGGGTAATCTGTTTTTGTTTTGTGTTGTACTCTATGGTATAAATGTTTCAGATTATCATCCTAGTTTACCTTTTATATCTGTAATATTCTAATTGTTTTTACTGTCCTTTTCCGACAGTTGTTTTAGATTATTTATCTTTTTATCATTATGAAACTTGTCTTTAGTCAAGAAATGGCTGAAATATTTCCGATGTGTCTTAAAATCTAACTCACGTGTTGAAATGTTACTGAAGACCACTGCAGAACAAACCAAGAAGAAAAGTAGAGGCCATGAGTCAGTCCCTAATTGTATAATTGTTCCTGACTACAGAAGTGAGTGTGTTTCATTGACAAATGCCGGGACAACTTAGGGCAGGGGCGGGGTCCACAACACAGTAAAGTGAAATTGCTCCAACACAATTTTATTTCACTCACTCATCCACTGCTTTATCTGTATCGTTGTGTCATTTGCTGGAAAACATTATCTGTGATCATCTTAAGGGCCGAGTATGGATCCAGGTGTTTCAAAAACCAATTTACCATTTCTCTCTAAAAGTTTTCGATTTCTCAGTAAATGCAGTTAGGTATACACGTTTTCATCTTGTTTTGTCATCAGTAGTTAAAACGTTTTAGATTCACATACTATACTAGCAACATAAAGAAACTGTGCACGCAGAAAATACCTTCAGAATTGGAATACAACACATAGACGAAATGATGTAGCCGCTTTATAAGCTGAAGAAGAAATTGTCAAAAGAACATGAACAATATCCGTAACGATGACGTCAGAAGTTCAAAATCGGGTAGGGGGTCACACGACGAAGTCACAAAGTCAATAACGGGTATGACCACCATGTGCGTGAAGCACAGCAGTGCATCGACGACGCATAGAGGCTATCAAATGAGCATTGAAGGCATAGGGAATGGTCTGGGGCGTAATCACTGCTGTCTGGAACCTGTATCTGAGCTGAGTCACCCGAATCCATCTGTCCTGTCTTGGCGTCTTTACGTTGGGAACGCCCAGAACGTGGGTGGTCGGCAACGTCATTACTGTTTCGATAACGCCTGACCCATGCAGATATCGTGTTACGATGGCATTGGAAATGTGCTGCCACCTGTTGTTGACTCATTCCTGCTCGAACCATTCCAATGGCTTCATGACGTTGAGCAGATGTTAATCTTGGCATGATGTGCATGTGACTTCTCATGTGAATTGGTGAACGTTTGAATGACCAAAGATCAAGCTTTCGACAGTGACCGCAATTTCAGAGTTTCACATGTTGTGTGCATCTGTACGGGCTGCACGTGCAGTAACACATTGCAAGGCCTTAGGCCACCGTCAATGACGTCACGTCGCCTGGCACGTGCATGAGCGTTTGATTGTCTCCAATACTTGCTATGTTCACAAATGTATTTATGTATAAATACGCTGTGTGCCTATATTTATATTTTCTGTGTGCACAGTTTCTTTATGTGGCCAGTATAGTTATACATCGATATCCGTTATAGCCATATAGCTGGAATATTGCTGAGTGCGGCGTTAAACTAAACTTACTCACTCACTATATCTGTATATCTGTGATATTCTAGTTGTTTTCATTGTTCCTCGTTCACAGATTTTTATAATTTAACTTTATGTATGTGAATGTTGAACTATTTTAAGTCACGATATGGCTGAAATACAGCCGCCACTTACTGACTCCGAGGTGAACAGACGTGCTGTGTGGAGCTCTCTGG